ATGCCGTATATTTGAAAAGTTAAGCAAAGATCATAATTTTTCGTAGCGACGTTGGACTTATGATTTCTTTCAGGATTATTTATTATAACTTTTTCAATCAGATAAGAAACGCCATTGTTTCAGTGTACGACTGTGCTCTAAAAACAAAAATGCATAGATTTGATAGATTCAGTTAGATGTGCTGCAGTGATTTACGAAAGAGAACAGCAAGAATTATGATTCATAACGATTGAAATTAAAATTCTGCATTTTACCAACTGACAGTATCGAACTTACTGAGAGATAGTATCCTCTGGTTTACGATTTTGTCATATTACTAAACCAAAAAAGATGTAAATAATGTTGCTTCATCCTAATGTGTTATACTTTGATTCGATGACTTTAGCTAAAAAGCTAATTGAGTAACTCAATCAAATGAACAACATTCAAAGCTTCTATTGTATTTAGTTTCCGTGATTTACATGGCAACTTCTGTTCCACCAATTGGTGACCTTCAGGTGAACACCAACAATCAGCATCTCAATTATTTTTCTCTTATCTGGCTCGATGCCAATATAGACCTTGAAGGGAATCGAAATGCAGAACAAAGATTGCGTGCTATCGTTAATTGTCTTATGAAATTTCAAGATGTAAAAAAATGTCAAGAATATATTGAAAAACAATCAGAAAAAGCTCGACTCATAGTGTTTGTTAGTGGTCGGTTAGGAGAAGCAATAATTCCTTCTATTCATGAACTTCGACAAGTTATATCAATTTATGTGTACTGCATGGATAAAAACCGTCATGAACAATGGGCTCGCAACTTTGCAAAAGTATAATAAAGATGAAGGATTTTAATTTCGTTTTATGGTATTTTTTTATTGATAGGTAAAAGCAATTGTTGTTGAACTTGATGAGCTTATCTCGCGAATTGAAACTGATCACAGAATGCAGGAAATCGTAGAAGAGCCATTGTCAATTAATATTTTTACTACAAGTGTTAATGCAGATACATCAGCAATGGGCAAATCAATAATGGATGTAAATGGTCAGTTTGTTTTCTCTCAAGTTTTGGTTGATTGTCTTCAGCGGCTAGAATCCAATAAGACAGATAAAGAAGAGCTTATTCATCTTTGTAAACAGGAATATAAAGAGAGCGATGTTGAATTGAGCTATATTGATGAATTTGAAAATAGTTATTCATCTGACCAAGTCTTGTGGTGGTACACAAGACAGTCATTCTTCTACAAAACTCTCAATGCTGCTCTACGGAAGCAAGATATTCATTCAATTTTTTTATTTCGTGCAATTATTTCGGATATGCATCATCAATTGAAAAATAATCAAGCTAAAGATCCTCTACGAGTTTATCGAGGCCAGATGATGTCAAGTGATGAATTGAAAACTTTG